ATAATTACATATGCACACATTTAAGTAAGACATACAGAAAGACGAGAATCCAATTTCAAACAAAGTATCTAAAAGTAATATCACAAAAGTTATCTATGAATCGTAAAGCAATCTAAATAATTAAAAAGATTAATATAATGTTGTAAAAAATATTTAGTCAGAAGCCTTAATTAAATGTACAGAAAAGTGCCACGTTTATAAAAATGACTAAAAAACTTAAAAAATTAAATAAAATCGAATGAAACTTCAATAAACAAAATTCTGGTTTATCTTACGAAATATTTTGACTATTAGTTAATGTGACCACTTGATTTGTGTGAGTTTTGCGATGAGCCGCTAATTGTCCCGACTGTGTGTATCGCTTACCGCAATATGCGCATACGTATGGTTTTTCCCCTGTATGAGTCCTTGTGTGACTCTTTAAAGTCCTGGAGGAAACAAAAGCGGCCCCACAAATTGAACAAACATGGTCCCTTATTCCCAAATGTGTTTTCCTATGAGCCGATAGATTGCTAGATGTGTGATACCTTTTCGGACATTTGTCACAACAGTAAGGTTTTTCTCCTTAAATAAAAAGAAAACAGTTGTTTTACTATTGAAACAAAAATAATTAAAACCAACGCTAAAACTTTTATTATTGTTTACTTTAGAGCACACTTATATTCCTTTTTAATGAAAAAGTACTGCAAACGTTTCTGATTTGCAAGAACTAGTACATAGATTTTGATCAAGTACATTATTTGCGCGAGCGAGTGGATTCTGTAGGGTTGCCTTGAAATATAGGAAACCACGTAGTCGGAACCAAGCTATACTCGATACTAATGACAATTTATTTACCTGTATGGGACCTCATATGGGTGGCCAAATCGGCAGCTCTGGCAACCCTTTTTCCGCACATAGAACATTGAAATTTCTTCTCACCAGTATGGGTCATATTATGAGCTAATAAACCACATCGGCTCACGAAAGCCTGTAAAATCATCATCAATTAAAAGAATGTTTTCCTAATTTTGAGGAAATATTGTTCAACCTTAGGACAAGACTCGCATTTGTAGGGCCTCTCTTGCGTGTGTGTTCTTGTATGAATTTTTAAATAGGACGAAGTAGCGTACGCTGACCCACAAACGGAGCATACATATGGTTTTTCCCCTGTGTGAATCCGTACGTGAATTTTTAAAACGAAAGAATGTGCGAATCTTTTGCCTAAATGCAAAATGCTTATTAAAAAGTTAAACTAGATTTGATTAGAAAGTATACCGCAAACTTTACACTCATAATTCCTTTCGCCAGTGTGAATTTTATTGTGGGTCTTGAGACTGTGAGGATCTGCAAAGCGTTTCCCACATACACAACAAATTATAGGCTTTTCCCCAGTATGAGAACGCATATGAACCTTAATAAGAACAAATAAATAACAATTTCCATTAATAATCCTACTTCTGCTGTTTAATAAACATCTTACTAAAAGATCAGCATGCTCGAAAAATCTTTTCCCACAGCTAACACACAACTGTTTCTTTTCACCACCATGAATACGACTATGTTTAGCCAGACTTGTTTGCTTGTTAAATGATTTATTACACACCTTGCAGGTATATGGTTTATAATCAGTATGTGATTGTAAATGCACTTTTAATGATTTGGATGCTAAAATAACAAACTAAATGAGGAAAAGGATATAAACTATTGGTAAAATTATTTACAGTGGAACTCCTTTTCACAAACTGTACATTGGAGTTGTTTCTTATGATTTGATGTATGCAATTTTAAACCCTTCTTTGAATTAAATGATATCTTACAAATCTTACATTCATTTGTAATGATATTGACATTTTCATCATCATCATCTTCATTTGTAATTTCTTTGTCATCATCACAGTCGTTTATTTCAACTTCCTACAAATATTAAATCAAAAAGAAAAACACAAAGGCCACTCAATATACATACGTCCTTTATAGTACCATTATCAGTTTTATTACTTTCATTCTTCTTAGAATCAATCTCATCTAATGTAAATTCGGTGTCCAATAAAGGAAACGAAAAGCTTTTCAACTGATATTCAGACTTTATACATTTCTCTTTAAACGTAAATGCTATGTTTAATTGATAATTACATTCATTGCAGAGAAAACTTGGTAGCTTCTCTCCTTGCTCTACCTGTTATTTTATAGTGTTACAAAAGAGGAGGGCTTTTTTTCACTTCCTTACCTTTATATTTGTTACATTCATTATCATTATATTCAAATTATTATCGAATAAATAGTGTAGGCTTTCTGGAGTCTTTTGGGTAAGGCAAATTCGACAAATTTTTGTTAAATCTTTTAAGGATATTTTTGTCGACAAATTATCCATAACTGAAACAACTATGGGTAATATATCCTTATTTTCACATATAAAGAATCAAAAAACATTAATTTTTAATTTTGTTCGTTCACAAAATTGTAGGTTAAATAGTNTGGTACGAATATTGTCTTCCAGAAGTTCAAAGTTTGCAAGTAACTTTGTGAACAAGTAATTAAGAAATTCTATTTTGTTTGGTATTGTTTTTACCAAACGGTAATAGTAGTAATAATACAGTAATCTATGATAAACAATAGGCATTACATCGCAGTGTATATCTGTTATCTATGATAAGCATGAAAATGACTATAGAGTCTCACAAAGATTACTAGTAAATATTTAATTAATGTTTTTGTTATTAAATATTAGACATTATCATAGACTTTTTCTGAATATGTAAAAGTCGTATAAGTGTATTTATGCAATGAATATTAATTATATCACATCATATGCATAGATGCTTATTTTGTAGTATGGTTTATTCTATGGTTGTAGTTGTAATAAAAAATTTCGTATGACGTTTGAGGTTTACTTAACCTAAAATTGTTTTTAATTTGAAAAAGTGGATGAAGTTTTGAAATTATAAAGTGTTGTTAAACTGTGGGAGTTAATAACAGTGTTGTATTAAAAACTATTAGCTATGTTCAAAAGGCCTCAACCCGGTGAAACTGAAGAGGATATCTTAAGACAACAAGAAGAATTTTTGCGGAGTAAAGCAGAGACAAGCAACTTACCTCCCGCTGCAACTATTGTAAAAGTAAATTCAGGTAAGATAGTTGATGAATAAGTTAAGAGAAAATTTAACAAATATTACTGTTATCTACATGCATTTATTATTTAAGGTAATCAAAATGATCATGGAATGGACCAGAGTGAGGTACAAATGGATACAAGTACTACTCTGCAGGAACAGATAGATAACACATTTGAAATGATCCCAAGTCAAATAAATATTGGACAAATTGTGGAAAAATCGAGCAATACATGTGAGAAACCTACGCTTGTTATTTTTCCTAAACATGCAGGTTTTCCTCAAGCTGCCAGAAGAAAAGAGAATGTAAGAATTATTTATAACTTTCATTAATAAATCTGTATTTATATATTAATGTACATATTTATTACCATTTATAAAAAACAAATGTTTTAGTTACTGGCTAAAGGTCATAAAGGTAGCATTTTTTCACAACAAATCAAAAGAATGAAAAGCAATGAAATAAGAATGGAGACTGAAGGTGAATCTCCTTCATGTAGTAGTTCACCTGTAGATGTAGAAAGCAAANAATAAATCTGTATTTATATATTAATGTACATGTTTATTACCATTTATAAAAAACAAATGTTTTAGTTACTGGCTAAAGGTCATAAAGGTAGCATTTTCTCACAACAAATCAAAAGAATGAAAAGCAATGAAATAAGAATTGAGACTGAAGGTGAATCTCCTTCATGTAGTAGTTCACCTGTAGATGTAGAAAGGAAATTAGAAATTACCGAAAACAAACAGTCTGACTCAATTCCAACCTCATTTGTGGTTGATGAAGACCTTCCATGCAGAAGTTACATTCTAACAGGAAAAGATAAAGAAGAAATTCATAGGGAAAACATGGAAGTTTTACATAAAATGACTGAGCATCAAATTTTGGAAGAAAGAGAAAAACTCTTATCCACAATGGATCCTGCTATTGTGGCATTTTTAAAGTCCAAACGATGCCATCAAGAATTTAAAATACATGAGGACAGAACACCGACAGTTTCTGAAAAGAATAAAGCTGCTGAAGAAGTTAATGTTGAAGATATTGAAACGACTGCCGAAATTGTAGGCCATTACAAATCAGACAGCTGGTTACACTTTGATACAATTGAAGCAAATAAATTGGCTTGGATGAAATCTGTTGATATTCCAAAAATAAAAAAAAATGATCCTTATGAAGCACGGTATTTTATTAATGCAATTTACTTAATGTTTCAACTTTTATTGTATATAATTATAACCATTTTCATTACAATTTATTAATCATGTTTAAAGGTTTGATTTTGATGGTTGGCTTTTGCCATTCTCGGTTCCTGATATTGACGAAAAAAATCGAATTTTATACCATCATGGTGATGAACCTGGTCGACCCGGTTACACTTTACAGGAATTATTTCAACTTTGTAGGTATATATTGCTAGTGCTTTAGACTCCTTTATTTCTTAACTAATTAATTATTGCTTCAGATCAAGTGTTATCCAGCAAAAAATTCTCGCTCTCAACACAATCGCAAACCTTTTGTCTCTTTATCAGTCAGGTGTCTATAGGGATATTTTAGAGTTGCCCATAGAACAGATTTTTTTCGTGGTTCGCTTTTGCCTTGACGATAACACACCATCGATTTTGAATTCTTGCGTAAAGGCGATGAGAAATCTGTTTTATTATGTAGTAGACGAAATTTGCGTGGATAATTTATTGACTTTTGGTCTTGAAATTGTTCAACCAATATTGGCTGTTGACCCTAAAGAAACTGAGGATGACAAGACTGTTAATGATCAACAGCTGGCCGAAACTAATTTGGTCAAATGTTTGGTAAGAACTGAAATTTTAACAAGAATAAGGTAAACTTCTGTAACTATATTTACTAAATAATAGTTATTGTTTGTCTATTTATTTTTACAGGTACATAATAAACGTTGTTAAACCTCCGCTGGAGACTATAGTTTACTGTTTAGAAATCCTGATAAGGCTGGCTAGAGATTCTTTTTTTATAGCTAAAGAAGTTTTTTATTATGATAATTTAATGAAAAGTATTTTAAATTATTTCATGCCTGTTGTAACGTCATCATGTAAGTGTTAATTTAAATTTAATTAACTTAAAGAATGAAATGCAATTCTTTTCAGTTTCCATATCTAATACGTATGGTACACCTCTTGTACAAGCCATTAAATTGGTACGAATATTGTCTTCCAGAAGTTCAAAGTTTGCAAGTAACTTTGTGAACAAGTAATTAAGAAATTCTATTTTGTTTGGTATTGTTTTTACTTGAACAATTTATTTATTTAGATATAAAATTATGGATTCCCTAGTGTCTTATTTGTCGAGTGAAGATTTTTCAATGAACAGTAACGGTTTAAAATTGCAGATTGAATCGTTGCATTTGTGGTCAGTTTTTGTTCATTTTGAATTAGCTTTGGATCACTTCAAGTAAGTAAAATTACTTATAGGATTTCGTACAAAGAAAGTTAAAAAGCTGTACCCTTACAGCTCTTTTTAGATGTAATGAAAACATGCTATTCGATCTGTGTTTCTATTTTATCCAATTTAATTTCTCTTGAAGTTTAATTTCTGTTTACAATTTTATTCTTTTTTAGAGTGTTGCAGCCCATTTTGCTAAGAATGTTAGACTTCCATGTTCGCAATACTAGTGCTGTTTTTTATACTTCTTACGTAGTCCAAAGTCATATTTCTGCTCTCCTGAATCTAATTTCTAACGTTTCGAAAAAAGATTATGTTTGTATACTTCCGTACATCTCGTTATTAATAGATCCGGCCATGTTCAAATGGACTGCCCAATTTGGATCTCAGAGCGAATATTCGGTATTGTTTTAGTTTAATTTTCCCAATAGAACCCTAAATTAATATTGCTTTCACTTTAGTGTGGAAAACTTCAAATTGTTTCATCTCTTCTCCACTGCTTTGCGAATTTATTCAGATATAAACCCACGAATGTTAATTTGCCCGTGGATGAAGTTGAAACCGCTATTCAAAATATGATCACGTCAGAAGGATTCGATGTGGTCACAAAACATATTGAGTAAGATGAAGCATTAACGTTTAAAAAGTTTTTAGAGTACCTATTTCGCTTGTTGCCTTTGCAGATTTAGTTCCAATTTGTTAAGTACAAAAGAACCTCAGAGATCTAGTGCTAACTTAAAAACACTGGAAGCCGCAATTTTTGATGCAACAGATCATATAGTTCCAGTTCTTCAACGAAGAAGCTGTATTCCTTTCCTGACCTCTCTGTCCGAATTTATAGATTCGTGTGAATGCAACAAGGTAAGAAAAACATCGTAAAAAAGAACATTGAAATGTCTAGTTTTTATTTTTATATTAATTCGTGAACGTCAAAACTTTTAGTTTTTTTTTTTAGTATTTGCTAAATTTTAATTTTTTATTTTGGTTTATTTATAAAAATATATTCATCAATCGAAACTAAGGACTTATAACTCTATATATTCTGATTTTTAGACTAGATTTGTCTTCCTTCATCACAAAAACATACTTCGTTACTTGAACCTTCTTCAAAAAGCTGATAAATTTAAACTGAGCGAAAATTGGTTTACAAGAATCGAAAGTCAACTAATTTTGAATATTTTAAAAGCTGCTGTGTCAATTCAAAAAGAGATCGATACTCAAATATTTTTTGAGGTCGCTGTTAAATGTCTGTCGACATTCAATTCTGAACAGAAACAGGACATTGAGTTCATCCTGTTTAATATCATTTTCAGTCCGCGATTTTATCCTAGCGAAGTGCTGATGCAAAATTTAGGAGTCAGCGACCAAACAAGTTTCTTGAAGGTAGCCCTTGATAACGTAAACGATATTTTTGAAACCTACGCATACACTTTGGGCCTTAAAAAAGTAAGTTGAGGCTTATTAAATTGTACAAGTATAATTTATATCTCTTATTATTTACTTGGGAAATTATTATTTTATAAACAACTATTTTATTATGTTTTAGGATCTCTGTGATTTTACAACTAATTTATGCGTTGATTCAAGCATAGGAAACATAATTCCAGTTGATTGGGTTTACAGTCCTATAATTATGTTCTATTCGAGTCAGCAGGATAAAAATACTCCTCTCCCAGAAGAACAGCAGTCGTTCTTTATAAAAAATTGCTTGAGATGGTTATGCACCTACGAAATGTATTTTCCCTCTTTGGCAAACAATATAAATACGACGGACAGATTTTGCAGAATCGCTTGCGTTTTTCTTGGAAGTGATGATCTTTTTCTGGATCAAGAAGTACAGACGTTGATGAAACTGTGTCTTCAGAGTATTTTGAACAGTAATGAGAAGGAAATAAATTTTAATAAGCCAATTCAAGGTACTTTTTAAATGTTTATTTGAAAAAGTTGTAAATATAAAGTAATTATCAATATTTTTAAAGTCGCAAATATTGCTTTAGGTCTCACAAATTTTCAAGATTTTTATACTCAAATATTAGAACAGTATCAGGGAGTGAGTTATGGAAATATTCTTTTTGGTAATTTTATTTTGCTGCCGCTGGCTCAAAAGCAAGATAAAAAGTACAGGAAAATTCTTTGGAGTGAATATGCAGGAATTCTACAAATATTTAATGTTACAGAGAGTGAGGTACGATTTAAATAATTTATTTTAATAGCACTAGTTCTTCCCCTCTATCAGTCACTGTGAGCTAGAAACTGTCAGCACCATTGCTTCCAGTGGTCGAAATTCACTTTTGTGAACAATTTGTTTAATCACATTCTTTGTGTTATAAATTGTTTGAAAAAATAAATTTAAAGGAATTGTTTGTAAATAGGTATGCAACATATCGTACACTTCAGCATAAGAAATTGCTGATATTAACTTTGATTTACGTAATATTACTTTGCCCTGTGCTGACAGCACTCATAATTTCTTTTATACTTAATTAAATCTGAAATCGATACTAATATACTTAGAGAAAATGAGTATTTATGATTATATCCTATTGAAATTGTACCGTAAAGAATTGGGCTTAAAAATTGATATTTCGTCGTTACTTTTGCGCCATTGTTGTAAATCCCCGATATGTTTGGTACTTCCTAGTCGTAGTTTTTACTTGTTTTTTTTGAGCACCAGTTGACTTATCAAGGGTCAAAAAAGTTTAAATGTTTAGTAAGAATATGATCTTACTTCTTTAGGTAGGTAATCAATTCTAATGTTCAGTATAATTTTTAGTGTTTATATCCAATGGAAATGTTTCTAGAACCGCTAGAAACCGATCTGTCGCTTCTTCAATGCTATCGAAGGACTTTACAGTCGGGAATGGTACGAAAAAACTCAGTTTTATACACAATCGCATCTCATCATGTCAAATCGCTTACTACTCAAAATAAAATTCGGCCTTTGTAATTATTTTGTTTTACTGATAAATAATTATATCTTTATAGTCGGTTAAGCATTAAAATATGTTTTGTCATTTTCTAATTTTTTTTTTAATTTGTCCTAGTACTTAAGATATATTTATTTTTTAATTTAAAAACGCAGTACATAATAAACGTTGTTAAACCTCCGCTGGAGACCATAGTTTACTGTTTAGAAATCCTGATAAGGTTGGCTAGAGATTCTTTTTTTATAGCTAATGAAGTTTTTTATTATGATAATTTAATGAAAAGTATTTTAAATTATTTCATGCCTGTTGTAACGTCATCATGTAAGTGTTAATTTAAATTTAATTAACTTAAAGAATGAAATGCAATTCTTTTCAGTTTCCATATCTAANAATATGTAGATAGATCAACAACTTGAGATATATGTCTGCGTTTCCATCAGTCTTTTGTTTTTCTTTTTTTTGTATAAAATGTATATTAATATTACAAGAAGAAATTAATTTAAAAGAATATAAGTATAAACTATACATAATGAAAAAAGAAAGTTTTACTGCTACTACTTTTATTTAAGTAAAAATTAATTCAAAGTTTGTCGCGATTCTATTCATGCAAGTTATATATTTCAATTAATAGACAAAAAAAATGTATGTATTATTTATTTCTATCCTTTTTTTATTTCAATTTCTCAGCCTAGGTTTATTAATGAGCAATCTATATGAATTTGTCTGTAGATCTATTTTCTAGGTATTTTCGTATTTTGTATTGGCAGTAACCTAGTAAATATTTAGTAACTTTTAACTTCAAACCGCGCCGGTTATTGTAGTAGTGATGGTTGCCTAAGTTAACTTACCATTTTTCGTTTTATTAGTAGTGTAGAAGTGTGTTCTGTTGTTGAACGATATTGGATAAATTTGAAGCAAAAAGAAAATTGTAAGCGATTTTTATTACATATTTTCTATTCCGTTTATTTACTTGAAATTATCACGCACTCGTTTAATAAATTCGCGCCACAGTTGCATCCAATAAATGTTCTGTAAGCCATTTTTAATTAAAGAGTTAGTAATAATAGTATTACATTAAAGGTAAATGTTTATAAACACAATAGAAATGCAACATATTGTAAATTTTTATGTATATTATTGCATATTTAACGATTTCTAGTTGTAAGTTACTTGAAGTGATGTAATAGAATGTTATCAGATACTTTATTTATATAAACAGTTCTTTGAGCTTTAAATGGATACAGTTGAGTGAATAAGTATAATTGTCTAAGACGTCGTTAAAAGTTGGTTCCGCTGTGGTAGTTTTTAATTTAAACTTGGCGTGTTTATTTACTAACAAAGCTGTCGCAGCGGTAAATACGTAACCTTATTTATCTTTTCAGGAATCCATAAAAATGAGTCAAAAAGCCGGAAAAAAGACTCGTCGCCGCACAGAAGAAGAATTAGAAAGTACAGGAAATGAAACGAAGAATGTAGATAGCAGAGCGGCACTAGAAAATGGCAAATCAAATGATAACAGTCTAAACGAAGAAGTGCAGGAGATACAAGCAGAAACAAATGATAAAATTGAAGTCCCTGAGAAAAGAAGATTAATTGAAACAAGAAGTCGATCATCAACTCCAATTATGAAGAAAGTGAAACCAACAGAACCACAAACAGAATCTTTACAGGAATCTGGGAATTCTAATGTTACAGAGGAAAAGAAGAATGGAAGTGGTGATGCACTAAACTCCTCTTTGGATTCAGTGCAAGAAGAAGAAATCGAGTCTGAATCTCAAACACATGAAAATTCAGAACTACAATTAAAATTGGATGACTCACCAATTCTGAGGAGTAAGGTAAATAAATCAGTAGTGACTTCTCATATTCCATCCGAAACTCAGAGTTCAGAAACTGAGCAGAAGCAGACAGAAAACAGGCAACCATATGTCTCTTTAGTTCGCATGGAGAATCTTGATAACAAAAAAGACAATGACAGTTCAAATTTGCAGGACTCAGTAGAAAGTAACGATTCCACCAAGAAACCTGAAGAAAATATAACAAATGGTCATGAAGAATCAAATGATTCGTTTGCGTCACTTGCCACGAATGATTTGAGTACAGTAGCAGTTTGTGAGAGTGATGCCACAAGACTTAATGCAGAATTTTCTCTCAAAGATTCTGAAATACTGGACAGTCCTTCCAATTCGTTTTTAAACATCACAAAAGACAAAAGTTTGGTCGATACTTGTCGCAGATTGTCTTCACGAAAGTCTATTCGTCCCTTGGATGAAGACTTTAGAAAACGAGTTCTGAGAAGCAATTTGGAAAATAAGGATTCTCTTGATAGTCCGTATCCATCTCGTTATTCGGTCGAAAGAATTACAGGTATGAAACGTAAAAATCATAGCATCACCCCACCCGATACGAAAAGGGCGAGAACAGAAGGCGGAACTATTATGTCTTATATTTCGAGGCCAATCAGCACATTGAAGAGAAGAATAAGTCGTTCTGATCTACAATCCAACACCCCAAAACTCACAGGGTACAAAACAAGATATGAAGGATTTGAAATCAACAGTGGAAGCCAAGTTGGAGTAGAAGTTGGCCGAAGTGATATGGAGAAGAAATGGTGTTCTATAATGTAAGCCATTTTTCTTTTTCATAATATCTCCAATTATTAGATTTTTTTCAAATACTGCACTAAGTAATTGGAAGAAAACTTTGCTATATTCAGTTTCAACTAACAACTCAAAAGAAAATTGATTCAATTCTTGTGATTATAACAGAGATAGTTCTTGTTACCTTTTGTACAAATTCCTTGAAATTTTAATTCATAAAGAAAATACTCACACTCACTCACTCAGTATCATATGAGGTATACTCATTTATTTTTTAATTTTATCTATAAAATCTATTACACTTCTAAAAAGAAAGTAATAAAATCTGTTTGTATTTGATAAAAGAAATATTTATACGTACGTGTAATGATAAGGAAAGTAATAGTAGTGTCGGTCGAATAAATGTTTTATTTTTAACTCTAACAATATATTTGTATATTTTCAACTACTAATAAAAGTAATTAATCAAAATGGAAAGAAAAGACTGTAAATATATTCAGTAGAATGATTTAAATTACAATTAAAATGTATTCTCGTTAAATTCGGAAATCTTTAAAATATTTTTTTTTTTTTCATTATTATAAATGTTATTCTGATTTTATATACAATTTAATTTTTTTTTCATAACATTTATGGGTTCAGCGGTATCGACTTTACTAAGTTTGTAGGTATAAAATATTTACCTAGTTATTAAAATTTAATAACAATTGCCCAAGTATTATCGCAAAGACTTAAATTTACAAGGGACTGATAAAAAAGAACTGATTTTCGTCTAAACCTTACCATCATCACATTCCAAGCGTTTTTACTAATATTTTTGGCCATCAAGCATTACGTTTTTTGCTCAATATTAAAGTTTAGTATGTGTGAAGGGGAATTCCTGAAAACTAACTATTATAACAAAAAGTTGCTGTTTGTTAAAACTACTGTTTAATATAACTGGTTTTATTAAATTTTGACAAAATTCTTTAGTTATTAAAATAAATGTAAAGGATTATTGAGACCATAATAGAGCATGGGTAAT